GAAGAACTAATAGTGTAGTACTTGAAGCCTTTCATATTGAAGCATGTCTATAGAGGTTTTCTGCAGTGGGAGGTGGCGAACATTAAACCATATTTCAAGGTGTCTGTCCACTGTTTCTTCCCTTTTATAGTCACCCCAATTTTTTTTTTTTTTTTTGGTTTTCTGGAAAATTTTATCTACCTCAATTTGATTCTGAATTTTAGGTGACACAACCTATTGCAAAATATGATTGGTGGACATAAAATACATTAGTAACTGAATGTAAACAAGTACCTACTGGTCACCTCACGTGTTCCGATAACGTTATTGATGATAGAAAGAGAAATCAAGGTTACGAATTTCTCCACTCCTCCAAATGAAGTTTAACTAAAGCAAAGAAATTATGAGGCTATTAAGATAGGCACTAAATTCCTTAGATGATGAAAAATTGATTATTTGTTCAAGCCGAGACCTTCAACTTCTTATTATTTCAGTCAGATAAAGTACGTGAAGGAGGTTATTTCCTTATCCTGGTCAGGCTGTAAGACTGAAAAGCAGAGGAATGCAAAACACTGCCCTTCTCTAGAATTGAAAATGTATTTTCCCAGATGTTGTGTAATGATATCGTAATCGACGAGAATCCCCATACTTTGCAGATCCTTTCATTATTACAAGGCAAAAAGATTCTTGAGGAATCTGACTTTTTGGGTAATGGAAGATATATACCAGTAAAATTCCTTTAACTAGGCATGGCTGCTAGAAGATATCAGGAGTTATACAACAAAACTGAAAAGTCACATAAGAACCTGGGGTCTACCATTAGCTACTTTGTGTTGTGTAGGTGGATAAAAAATCAAGACCGAAAGAAAAGAAGCATTGAGCAAGACACTGGATTTGAGTAGGTAATAAGTACCTCAGACAGTTACAAGAAAATAATCAAGAGCACGGATGGATAAGTTCCTCAGACGGTCAGGAAGAAGAAGAATATTTCAGAAGTGTTGATTCCTAATGAGAAGAGGTTTTTAGCCAAGGTCCTTTGGAGGACATGGAGCAATTTTAAATTTCTTTTTTCTTTTTTCTTTTTTATGTAGTATGTTTGCATATTTTTAAATAGTCTCCTTTTCTTTTATTTTCCCTTTCCCCTTTTGTAGTTTCTCAAATTCAGTTTCTTGAAGGATAATAAGCAGCGACAATCTGCTAGCAATGATGGGTAAGTTAGGAGGGTCTTTACCCAAAACTTAGTTTAGAGCGAAATATTGTTTCCAAGGTTGCACTTAGAGGCTAAAGCTCTTTTGAGAATTGAAAGCCATTGATGAGTGGGTTAGTACGAGATTTTATTTAGCCATAATGCAATTGCCCTATATATCTTAATCAGTTTTCCTAATGATTAATAAACACACAGTACTGGCCTAACCATGGGTATTAAAAAAAAAATAATAATAATAATATATAACTTAAAATATTTATACAACATTATATATAAAATTTTTAAATAATATTATTAAATAAATATAAATTATTTTAATTAAAAATTATTTTATAAAGTTAAAATATTTATATTAATATTTTTTTTATATTTTTTAAATAAATAATTATAATAAGTTGGTCATTACATGAGAAGGTCTGTGGATTATTTTGGTATTTTCTCAAGTATCTTAATAAAGACAAGCCGTTTCGACATGATTGCGGGTTAAAAAAAAATAAAAATAAAAATAAAACAAAATAAAATAAAATAAATAATTATAATAAAAATTTCAATATTAAAAATTTAGGCAATTTTTTATTTTATACGTATATCCTAGAACTACCTCTAAGTTTAATCTAAGGAACAATATTTTATTTTTCATATAATTGCAAAAAAAAACTACTCTAACTATAAGAATTATTGCCAAATGAGATAGTAATGGATTTTGAATAGAATTAGAAAATCAACAAACTGTAGATAAATTTATTAAAGATTCGTATCTTTATCTATAAAATTTTTTTGATAGTATCTTGTCTAACTTTGGTTAATAGCATAAGTACAAATTCTTGCTACAAATAAATCATGCCACAGAGATTTTAGAAAACTCAAATTGGTTTAGTCTATAGAATATGTTATTACTACAGTATCCGCTTTATTAATTGAACAGTTAAGTATCCTGAAAATCACTAAAGAGAATTTTTATTCATTATTATATAATTCCGTTAAGTGTCGAAATTAAGAACATCTATCTATTTAATAATAATGCTAAGACACATACTGTAAATCCAAATCTCTGAGACATTTGCATGTGTATATTTATTTTACGAAAAGGCCCAACCATTTCTCATTTTATAACGTCGGTCAAAATGACAGCGAAAAAAACAGTTTTGGCAATGTCCCCTGCAATACGATGATAATGAGTTGTGTGTGTACATTACAGGAGCAAGTGATTCTAGTAAATTTATAATCATAATCTTTATTCGCTCGTTAGTCAAAATTTAATGTATATATATTTTTTCTTGACTAGTAAAGAAAAAGGAAAGAAACAATTCCAAAAATGTATCATCGTCTCGTATTTTATCCTTGATAGTAAACGAAAGAATGTCACCAACATGTAAGGTCTCAGACGTTAACGTTTTCATTGTCTGATGACTTGTTTCTTCGAAAATTTTTTTTTAGCTTTCGTCTTGGGTGGTTGTGCTCTTGAAGAGAAATTTTTAGCCATATGTGGATTATTTGTCAATTCAGTTCGTAAATGATTTGTTTTTCTTTGGTTTCTAATTTCCTCCTCCTTCCATTTCTTTTTCTTGAGCAACTCCTCGTTTTGATCGCGTGCCTTACGCAGTTGAATACGTGAGTCGGTTTGAAAAACGAATCCAATGGGTTCTGTGAGTTGTTTTTCAGATTTTTTGGTCGGTACTTTTGCTTTCGCACTAAGCTTAATGTTTTCCTTCTCGAGCTGCTTCTTCTTGACAAATTTTTGTTCAGTCACTGAACTTGGATGTGACGAATCTGATTTAACTCTAAAAGCCTTATCTCGCTCCTGAGAATTTTGTCTTATTTTTGCTACCTTTTCTTCTGTTTCGCTAGTCGAGCCAATTAATCTGTGCGATTCTTTGGAAGAATGAGAAATGTAACATGGTTTGGCTTTGTGATGTTGCGTGGGTCGTTGAGATCGGGGTATCGTAACATTTGTCTTTCTTGCAATTGGAACAGCACTCTTTCCGTCGCAATTGTTTTCGACATCCTTCGGCATCATTCGAGATTTACTATCAAATTTCTGATCCTCATTACTTGTGACCTTACACATCTTAGCTCTTTGTTTTGTTCGTAAATAAGGAGACTTCGGTACCGTAAGTAAACGTGTATGCACGGTGTTTGTCGGTTTTAAAGACACAAGCTTTGTCTTGAACCTCTCTGGCGTGTCTTCCAAAAAGTGTTTAACTCTTTCGGCTAGGGAAATAAACGGTGATCTCGTGGGACGCCTTTCATTCATTTGCATATGTGGTATGGCGCGAAATATAAAGGGCTTTGGTACCGTTAATTCTGCGCGGAATCTTTTAGCAGGCTGCCGTTTCTTTATCCCTGGCGACCTACTTGTCGGGTAATCTTTGTTTCGTTTCGGTAGCTCATTATGTTTGGATAGCTCGATTTTTTCGGGGACGGTGATATGCTTTACGGCGGGGCTTATCACAATCTTTGATGTAATACCGTCGACGGAATCCTCAATATTTTGATGTACTTCGATATTTCGAGTCATCCACGCCTCATCAATTCTCTTTTTTGGAGTGACGTTAGCGGCGGAAACTTTAGATCCCTGATTTAATTTAGTGTTCATGTTATTATTGAGAGTTCTGTGTGATGATTCGCTATTCACCGCTACTCTTGAAACAATATTTGGCATAGGGTCTATAGTATTGGTTTCCGCGTTATTCTCCACAGTCCTCCTTGGTTTCATTTCCGATGTGACCACATGGCTTTCCTTTCTCCTTGAAAGGTCATTACTTTCGAACCCATGTTTATGATTATTTTTGTTGACCTTGATCCTAATGGCTTTGGCTTTTACTTTTTCAGCATCTGCCTTGGGTTCTGAAATATCGTCTATTTTCTTTGAACCATCACGTTTATCCTGCGTGTTTACGTGACAAAAATCAATTTTACTTGACGGTGGCGGGCGTTCGGTTGTCTTTGTGGATGTCTCTGTCGTCTTTTTTTCTTCAAGATTTAGAACAGAAACTTCGGTCGAGATAGGCGAGATCTCGAACGTATTGTTTTGCATGTCTTTTCATAAGTCAAAGTACAAAGTTACATGAACTTCATAAATATTTGATTGCCTTGAGAAACACTTAACTTACCGAACCACGAATCGCCTTCTCCCACGGTCATATCATTCAAAAAGTCTCTATACCTCGGAGCATTTATACCTTCGTAGATATAGTCGTAAAAGCCAGTCGGAGTACTGCCATCCATAATAATTTCCTCATAATCATCATCGAATTCTTGTTGGGAGGTTTTTAAAATGTCCTCGAAAATATTTTTCGGTTTCATTTTTTCATACAAAACGAGCACAGGTGCTACGCTCGTTTTGTTTTACAAGAATATATGAACAAAAGAGCGATAAGAAGATATTATTGCAATCTAAAGATCTAATGTTGAGGTGATTTATAGAACGCGTCGTAACTATTTATCACGCAAAAACGTGCGCATCACGTGATCATGTATTTATGTAAATCATAAAACCAAACGCACAGCTCACAATGTCCACAATTTAGTGTCCTTAAAAGATATGGTGCAACAGCAGCACAAACCACGAGTAAGAATGATAGTGTGGGGAAACCTTAATTGAGACATGATGACCAGATTTTCTCATTCAGGATCCTCCCATTAAATATTAAAAACCAAATGAACTGAACTTTTTTCTTTCTTCCTGTAATTTAAAAAATCAATTCCTCCTGAATTTCAATTCAAGTATGTCAACAAACTCAGCTTCCGAAAGCTCTCCTTTGCTTGGCCTCTCTCACGACACCAATGCTGCAGGTATGATTTGGAAATACTCATTTAGTCGATTTTTTTGGGGGGGGGGGGAATCCATATTGTAACTTAGACATGTTTTTTCTTTTTTCCTCTAATTAAACAAGAATCTCAGCAACAGGCCCCTTCGAATAAGAAGTTTCCCATTCCATATGGGCTTGTGGCATTAGTCTTGCTAATTATTTCAATAACTCTATTCATAATCTTTATACCTCACAATTCTCGTACGTGTATAATGCAGTTCAATTTATTCTTGAAGTCTTTCTTCCTCATGAACACTAACCATAAGTTTTATTTACCGATAATCGATTAATTTGTGAAAAGAGGATACACCCGAAGATATTTCACCTCCACGCGATCTAACCAATGATATTTTCGCTCATCTAAAAGCCTTTAACAGCATAGCCTACCAATCGACCAGAAATTCGCGGTCAGTCACTGATGGGTTCAATGCATCAGCCGAATATGTGATCGACAAATTAAATAAGACGAGGTGTGATGTGAAATTACAACATTTTAAGGTTCCTATCTGGGAAAAGGAAAAGGAGGCTGAATTGAATGTTACCCTCGGCAGTGGGGAAATTGTAACCTATCAGGGTGGTGTTGACTTTTGGAGTATGTGATCTTTTTATTCTTAATTCTGAATGACGTTATTTAGGACGCGGTAAGAAATGTGATTTATAAACGTCAACTCTTCCTAGGTATGCGATACGGAGGACAAGCTGCTAATTTGACATTTCAAAATGTGACCGAGGTGCGAAATTCCTGCGATAGAGAGGAGGAATGGGACATAGAAGGAAAGGTGGCATTGATACAGATGAACGAAAAATGCGATCTTTGGGAAACCGCCTATAAGGCCGAGAAGGTATGTAAACATGTTAAGTTTTTATACTCCATTCAACTCTGCTGATAAACCTTACTATTCTCAATATTTAGTCTGGTGCATCCGCCGTTATTTTCTATAACACACCAAAACAAAAAAAGCTTTCGTATTCTCGTGTAAGAATTGTAGATTGGAAGGAAGGAGGTTTATTAAACTCATTAATCAATTATTAGTTTCACGGATACGTCCTGTAATTGTTTATTAATTGGTCTCTATTACCTTATTCCTAGATCCCCTCATGAAAATTCCGGTTCTCGCCGCTTCAAATTCAATGGGTCAAATACTAATTAACTCGCAGCACATCAACATAACGACATACACAAAGTTATTTATTGTCGACACGTTCAACGTTTTATGCTATTTGAACGGACATGGAGTCAATGAAAGTTCCATTGTGATCGGTTCTCATTTAGATTCGGTACCCGCGGGCCCAGGTCTCGTGGACAATGCTTCTGGATCCTCGACAATACTTGAGATTCTTCTGCACCTGGAGAAAAACCGGTTTAAACCACAGAATAGAATTATTTTTGCATGGTGGAGCGCCGAAGAGATTGGATTGTTGGGATCAAGACATTTTGTGAGGGAATTGATAAAAAGTGGTGAAAATGTCAACGTGGCGATGAATTTGAATTTTGATATGTTGGGCAGCCCCAATTACATTCCATTCGTAAGTTTCTATAGGTAAAAGTAAATCCTAGGGATAGACGATTGACTGAATCTTTGAATCTTTCAAATAGGTTCTTCGAGGATCCGATGCTCCAATAGATGCTCGGAACGGCTCGATAAAGATTCAACATGTGCTCGAAAAAAGCTTCCATAAAAACAGAAAACACTACAATATTTCTGATATGCTAGGAGGTAGCGATTTCCTCCCTTTTATTAAGAACGGTATTCCATCAGGTGCGTTAATGGAAACTTAATAAAAAAAATTATACATGCATATGTCATGACACCTCGAGTTTAACTTAATGCAGGAGGACTTTACACTGGCTCGAGCGAGATCAAAAGCAGAAAATCCCAGCAAGAGTTTGGTGGCATTGCAAATGCACCCTTGGATCCTTGTTACCATCAAGAATGTGATTCAATAGAGAATGTTAGTAAGGAAGCCATCAGTGTGGTATGTGTTCTTTGCATATTAAATTTATGATTTTTTCGATGCTGAATATTGGTCTAAACCTTTGATTCAAATAGACGTCTCGAGTAATTTTCGAATCAATTATATTTTTCTCCTCTAAGAAGAACCTTGCTGACTTCTTAAATAGTTAACTGTTTACTTTTTCCCTGGATGTGTGTGTTTTTGCTTAATTTTGTACATAATTTATCGAGTTTTGAGAAATTTACTGGGGTCGTCTTGTTATCAATATTTTTTTATATATTTTTCATAAATAAACCTATTTTAAATTTTAACTTATATGCTGGTTTTATATAAAAATCATATTAAAATAAATAAATTTATTTATAGTAATAAAATATGTATAATGAATTTGTCAACCTTTTTCTACTAATCTTTTGACCATATATAAAAAGATATTCACAAAAAGTTATATTACTTTTTTGCTAATATAGTTTTAATATTCTCTTTAAAGCAACTTGAAAAATGATTTCAAGAATTATTTCTATTCTTTCTTACTTATTTATAATTCTTTTTATCCAAAAACTTGATTTCTAATAGCAATAGTAAGTCAAGAAATTACTTTGATACCAACAATAAAAAAGTTTCCAAAAAAAAAAAGAATCAATTATGGAGTATCTAAAAATCCTTCAATCTTTGAAACATATTATGTAAGGTTTATTATAATAGAAGGACTTACTTTTTTTTTTCTAAATATTTGTATTCTCTTAAAGTTATTACTTTTATAGTTTTTTAAAAAATTTGTCTACTTCAGTTTGATCTTGAATTTTAAATAGTATTATTATCATTGATTAATATATATAGTATAATTAATAATAAAAAAAATTTTTTATAAAGATATTATTTTTCTATTATGTAAATTTCTTAAAAAAAAAACAATTATAATATCAAAAGATAAACAATAAGTACAAAATCTGGTATTTCTATTTCTTAATAAGTTTTTTATTTTAATTAGATAAACTTTACTAATATTAATAATATAATAAATAAATTTATATATCAATAGAAAAATAAACTTCTTAAATATTTTTTTTGAAATCTTTTTATTTAAAAATAATTAAAATTTTCAAATTATTTAAGGTAAATTAGCAAATATTATAATTGAATAAAAATTTTTTAAAAAAAGATTATTAAGAATTTTAAATTATTTTTTTTATTCTTTTTTTCAATATTTTAATTAAATAATTTATTATTTTATTATTATTATTTTTTTTTTAAGCTGGCTTGATCAAGTTTATTAGTAAAGTTTTACTATATAGATATATTCAATCAGAAAAAAAAACAATAGAAAGCTAGTAAACTAATGATAGATTAAAATCACTTCATGATTAAGCCATTTCTAGACAAAAACTTAATAAAAAACTATTAGAGTGATAAAAATTTCTTAGAGAAAAGGTTGGTATGTGTAACGAATCTATGTCTATTACAGATTATTCAGTCTGTTTTGCTAATATGTTCAATATTCTACTTTGTTATCTCTATTTAGAAAGGAAAAATAAAACTAAGACTGTACAAATTTAAACAAGAATAAATATTCTATATTACAAAAAAGGTATCAGAAAAAGAAGGAGAAATGGTTTGGTTATAGATGACTTGAAAACACACTACTACTATCATATTAATACCATAAGCTGGTTACTCTTTGAAGGCTTTATCAGTTTAAGATACAATACCTATTCCTCTACTGTTTCCAGTACCTCTATATTATAATCCTTATCTACCAGTTCTTTACCTTTTCCTTCCATACCCTATCCAATATGTAATCTTCTGCTAATGTTCTTCTGAGTGATGATAAATCAAGAGTAAGGGTTCTAAAACATAGGTAAAAGGGCACTAGGAACTACAAAATCTCCAGTTTAGAAAGAAGAATCTTGTTCTTCCAGTATATACTTTTGTCAGTCTGACAAGTATCATGCTATTTTTTTTAAAGTACTACTATCTGTAAAGATTGAACCATTGTCTAATGTTCTATAGTAATATATTTTTCAGCTACTTGAGGTCATTTAACTATATGTTGGTATTATTAATTAGATGCAAATGATCCTAAGATCTCTCTGATCTCTTAATATTTATGCTAATAAAGAATAGATGTGGCACTTTTAAGGTATTATCCTTGTTAGTAATCACAATGGATCAGATTTTAACTAAATTTAATTCGATCCAATTTTTATAAATATGAATTGAATATGGATCTGATTTGTTTTAAACTGATCTGATCTGATTTGAAACCATAATAGTTTGATTCAATCCAATTCAAATTCAATGCAAAAACAATTTGAAACTGATTTGGTATATTTTGAATCTGTTTCAAAGTATGTTTAACTATAACTGATTTGATTTAACTAAGTTAAATTAAATATGTTTAAATTAATCTGGCTTTATTTTAATAAAAAAAAATTTTAAATAGTATATTTCTTTTCAAAAAATATTTTTTAACTTTAAATTTAAAAATTTTTCTTTTATTAAATTAAATAAATTTATTTATATAATCCATGGTCATTCACTTACTTCTATATTAATATATTCTTCTCTATAGCCAGTACTCTCTAAAATAATTTGATTTTCTATATCGTTTTTTTTTTATTTTTTATTATCAATGTTTCAAGTACTTATAAAGAATGTTAATCAGTCAATAATTAAATATATCGGTAATCCACACAATATACTTCTTATTAACTTTCTCTTCATTTTTTTATAGTTGATACTGTTTTTTTGATCAAATTTTGGAACAACCCACAAGTTATACTTTCCATTGGTAATACTATAGTACTATACAATTCATTCTTTGGTCAACAATAAAGAGTAATTTCTAATAAAAATTGTGACAATTTTAATTTGTTAATAACTTAAATTTTTAATAATTTATAATGTTTAAAAAATACCTGTTATTTCAACTTTAAAATTCCCCATTTAACTATGTAAAAGTTGTCTCCATGAAAATCCTCTTTACTGCAAGCAAATTCTTTATCATTAATAGGTCATATTTCTCTTAAGCAAGTTGTTGCAATTGCATAGTCCAAAAAACTAAGGTCGATGTAGGCAAATTTGTTGTATCTCCAGGTTATATAGGCCTTATATAGACCTAAAAAATGGTTTAAATATATTTTTTTATTATCAAAAGAAACTATAATTTCTTTGTCAGTAGCACCATATTTGTTGCCATCTAGCCGGGATAGATCATATTCTTCTATTTTTTTTGTATACTTGAGATCACATCTTTAAAAAATATATATATAATATAGTTGAAAAGAAAACTGTTTATCGCTACAACTTTTTCTTCTTGCAAATATTGCTTTTTGAACCCTCGTAATTCAACAGATATGTTATGCACATAAATAAATATTTCACTTTTTCTTGTCAAAAGATACCTGCAAATATTAATATTAATAAAGTTTTAAAAATTAAAAACTTAAGTTTAGTTAAATATATATCCTGCAGTTGTTAAGGCACCTTGATCCAATTCTTTGATTTCTGATAATTAGGTAACTTGTTAGTACAAAACAAACATGTCGATAATTGTGCTTCTCATGAGTTAAAGTATATTAGGATCAATACAATTTTGGTATACAGTCAATATTACCTTGTTGGAGGCTTTATCATAAACTATTATTTATTTATTTATTTTTTATTATTATTAGAAGATAGATGGCAGCATCAATTGCAGGTACATGGGAAGGCAAGGGGTTTGTTTTTTTCAAATATCCACTTTTCTTTTATTTTTTTTTCATTATAACTAGAGAGGGGTTCAAGATATATCATTTTTACTACATATACTTCCTCAAGATACTTTTGAGTCAATAAATTTTCCCTGATCTGTAATTTAATTAAATAAATACAGTTACAAAAAAATTACAAAAATTTTAACTTATATAGGTCTTTTTTTTTTAATTTTTTTACAATATCAATATCGGTTCTTAAAATAACAATAGCATTTTTTAAATCATTATTACAAGTAATCAAGAATCTCGAAAAATCCTTTCACCAGTTGACCTGGTGTTGTTTTATTATTAATAAATTTGAAAATATATACAGATATTTTTTATTATATTTATATTCTAGTAAATATCAATATTAGGGTCAAAAATAATCAGGCGAATATTCAGCAAGTGATGTATCGGTTCACTTAAAAATGCAGCAAATTTTATTGAGTCATCATATTTTTGTGATACAAGAAAATGAAGAGCAGCAACAAAGGTTTCTAAATTGAGACATTTAAAATTAGCTTAATATATATAGTATTCTGCTAATGCAAAATAAAAATTAATAGTCAAAAATAGCCTATTGTTGATAAAATTCTATATACTGGCCCAGGGTTTCCCACTGATAATATATGGTATCAATTGGTACTTGCAAACAGTGTTTGATAACAAGCTTGCTTGTACTAGTCCAGGATTTTCCATTGGAGGCACAAGGCATCTTTGTTACACTATTCCTGCCTCTGTACTGATACAGCAAAGGTTGTTAGTTCAGGGTTTTCCACTAGAGGCAATATCGATTCTGCATCAATACTTGTAAGTACTATCTTGTATCACTATGGGCCTACTTGCACTAGTTCAGAGTTGCTCATTGGAGGCACATAGTATGCTTAATTGATACAATGTATAAGGGCATGTCAATTTAAAAATTTCCTCCACTCACCCTTTGCAAAAAGAAATTGATGATTTTTTGCAACTTGATAACTTTCATTGACTTGGTTCATGCTAGTTGAATAGTGTTATGATTAATACTGGTAGCAAAAAAATACAGTAGGACATAGCAGCATCGATAAATGTTGCTTACTTGTTTATGATATAAACTAAAAGCTTGTAATCAATTATAGTTGAGATCGAAAAACTGGAAAATGAAAACAAGAGTTACAGTTAGTACTAACAGTAATAAAATAATAGTAGTAGCATATACAGTTCGACAAAGTATTGCTTACTTGTGGCTATAGAATGTAAAATTTGTGATCAACTGTGAATCAATAGTCAAAAGGTTGGGAATCAATAAAGTTAAAGTTGGCTGTTAAATGGTTGAATAAAATATAAAATAAAAAAAAACAAGTATATATATTAACCAAAAGCAATAACAAGTTGATAAAAATATAAGAGTAGCTAGTATGTTGCTTATACTGATCGGTAGAAGGAACTGTTTA